AGAGCGGGAAGCGAGACTTGACAGATGGAGTTGCAAATGAAGAGAAAAGCAGACAAGTAAACTTACTGGACATCGACTTCGAAGTCTGTAGGGATGTAGGTGGGATGCTGAAGGTGCCAACTGCAGTAGAAGCCTTTGGGATAGGTGTTTGATCGACACGTCACCTGCGGTTCCTTCGGAGGAACTGTGAAGAAAGCAGAAGGGTGGAAATGTAAGTACTTTGTCAGCAACAACACCTTTCGGAAATCCATCAGCGGCCCAAAATACAAACCCCAGGAGGCTTTTTTTTAACGATATCCCCTGCTTCCGTGGCCGCATAACCCCTTGAGCCTCCCCATTCCACGCATCAAGTGGGAAAGGAAATGTAATAACCGCCCATGCCCTCCTTCCAGATTAGGGTCCTTTCTTACAGCGCCACTGGACCGTGCCTACCGCTGCCAGAATTGAAACTGATGACTTGGACCGGTTGCCAGGGTTACGCATAATATTACTCCTTCCCATGTGTTCCTGTGTGTGAAATGGAGAGTGATTTAAGCTCCGTTGGCTGCCGAGCGCCGCCTTCTCCTTCCTCATCTCCATCGGCCCCCGGGGGCCTGACAAACTAGAGCCCGCAAGAAACAAAACCGCTTCAAAAGCTCACCTCTGGGCTCCCCTTTGAGCTCTGATTGCACTAAACTACCAGCTTACACACGTTCTTTCCTTACGTTATTGCGATGAAATAGGCTTTGAGATTTTTGATGGAGATTTCGCCAAAGTATCTGTGCACTTGTGGGAACTTGCGATGTTCTTAAGGCCTGATATAAAAGGCACAGACTAAAGAACATTTGAAAGTGACGTTAAGCCATTTCGTGGTGATTGCTAAGGTAAACACCATTACTATGGCAAATAACCTAACCTATGTGAAACTTTCTCCCTTTTTGTGTAAATTGACATAAATAACACCACAAATTATGTACTGTTACTTTAAACAATCAACTTGGTGGACAATAAAACAGACGAAAAAAAAAATCATATATACAGCCAAATATACAGAATAAAACTTGAGTGTCGGGAATTTAAGACCAATCAGCAACCACCCTGAATACCCTGGCAACCCATGTTTCAACAACCTAACAATCACCAAGAACACCCTTGCAACCAGATTTTGTCACCACAACTTTTATTTTATTTTATTTTATTTGTTTATTTTTATTTGTTTATTTTATTTAATTTTATTTTATTTTGCAGTGCGGTTTACAAATAAACAAGTGGGAAAAAAGATGATTCTAGATGATTCTAGAAATGATCAAAAAACAAGCCTCAACATGTAAATAAATAATTTGTAGATTTTTTTAATTATAAAAAAATATTTTACTATAAAGAATATTATTTTCTGAAGTGTAGAAACAAATATAACCTAATAATCCCTCCTTCAATAACCTCTCAACTGACCCCTCCACATTTTTAAGCCTAATAAATTTAATTAATTTCATTTCATTTTATTTTATTTTACAGCAGAATGTAATTATTGAAATAGCCTGCTGTGAAAACACTATCCTTTTATTTAGCTTTTTTTTGAAAAATCACCCTGCTGTTACTTTGGGGAAACATCTTGTTCTATTCATTACTCAGCAATGAAGAATCAATTATCAATCCAATGCAGTTTTACTCTTCTGTTAAGAAATAAACAAGAATACTGATCAAAAAATGAGTAACTGCAAACCACACATTAACAGACTGGTGTTGCATACTTCATTGCTAGACCAAAACAGTGAGATGAAATTAACTGTGTGGGGAAACATGAATGCAGGAGATAGGAGAAGACTTGTTAGAGGAGAGGAGAGGAGAGGAGGAGTCCGGAGCACGATGCGTTTGACCTGACATTCCATCCGTGAGCCGCAAGCTCAGAGCTTAGACAGCTTCTCCTCAGGAGGTGCATTCCTCCATAGAGTTGTGCCTGCAGGAGGCCTTCCTCACCCTCAGGCCAAATGGGCACACTGACAGCTCACGGACCCTCATCCCCGGCTACTAACAACCCCGGAACCCTCCCCTTTCACTTCCCCACCCTTCCCAAAAGAAAGTGCATGGCCATCCGCACAGTGGAAGATCTCAAAGACATTCTCTAAAGAAGCGAAAAAACAAAAGAAGGTTGCTTTTCGGAGAGAATTTGCAACCTAGCAACACCTCTATTGTTTCCTTTATGTTTTTTTTTTCTTTCTTTCCCCCCTTTTTTTGTAGGACAGAATGTTGTTGAAGTGACAAAAGACATATCTCAGCGTTCTTCCTTACGAGTGATTTCATCTAAGCTACCGGTGCCAAAGGAACAGCGTCAGCCGGAGATGTGGAGAAGCTAAACAAAAGTGTCACTTAAGCCATTTTGATCACACTAGCATTGAATGAAACGAATGGGAAAGTTATTCAAATTGCTTAGTTAGGAGGGTGAATCTCACAAAGGAACATCTGGGTTATAGAGGTTTAATTTAATTTAACTTAACTTAACTTAACTTAACTTAACTTAATTTAATTTAATTTAATTTAATTTAATTTAATTTAAT